GAAGCAGTATATAAGCTAGTGTCCTTCCACCCAAGTCTGAGGGTTCCATCTCCATGGACAAGGCTATAGCCATGAGCAGGAGGGAACATATTGAGTATTAATTGTGCTTGAGCCATGGAGTTTGTACTCATTGGAATTTGTATAAATCCATTTCTTAAAAGTTCACTCCTCCATTGCCTCAACTTATCTTCGCCACTTCGCGCTGGCCCTCCTATTGCAACTACATTGTTAATTTCTCTATACAAAAGGCAATGCTCCACGCCATGACGGCTTGAATCATCACTAGGCAAGAAGGCTCCAAGCGAGTCGAAAATGGTGGAATAGTAGTGTAGGGAGCTTACAAACCGGTCCAAGAAAGAGCCCCCGTGTCCAATTTCTTGCTCCACCAATGTAATAACTCTTGGGGATAAGCACTGAAGGAGCCTCATTGTCTTCCAATCAGGCCCTGTGGCATCGTACAAGGAGTGTTGAAGCCAATGTATCGCTAGTGCTTCTCCTTTACGGATCACGTTGTACCTATTTAGCTACAAGGCAAACTTTTTGGCCACGGGATGGAACTCAAAGTACATCCCAAGGCGCTTGGCGAAATTAGACAATTGCTTTCCAGTCTCCACTAAGAGCTCCATTGAACTCCCCATTCCTGTCATCCTAACTTGAGGCGGACCCTCAATGCGAGTTGCTAGTATGTGAAATAGAGCCGGCCATTGCAAACCTTGCATGATGTCGAGATCAATTATATGGACTTTATCCTGTCGATGGAATGCCTCCAAGATTGCTTGGTTGGAGGTGAAGTGCGCGAATTTAATGAATGGCGAGACGTTGTTGAAGATCTGGAACGACTTATGCACGCTTTTGTAGTCGATCAAAGGGGAGCACACCCCTATCCATGAGTTGATAACCCTGCTAGCCATGGCTTTGGCAAAATAAGCCACGACTCTTTCTGCACAAGAAGGGGAGTACGGAGACGCCGTTTGAGTCAGCTCCAGCACCATTCGTTGAGCTTCACCGAGATTATCAACCGATATAGCAACTGCACACTCTAGTAAAAGAGTAAGCAAGTTTAAGCCTTGCTCATCTGTTTTAGTCTCACTTCTGATCAAAGCACTTTCACCTCCAAGTTCATCATCATATACGCCGGAGTTTTTTCTTCCAATACTTTTCGACCCCAATTCCCTCAACAGAGTCGAGGCACCACCATGATCACAAACCACTTCATCAGTTTCATCCTCGGGCAAGTCTTCAATAAGCTGCTTAGTGACATGCTCTACCCATTGAGAGAGCTCACTTCTCTCCAAATTCGCACACCGGTTTTCGATCATTTGCCCGTTGGGCTGCATTACATCAACTTCAAACCCACCATTTAACATTATATCCAGAATTGATCGAAGATTTGTTTTAAGGCGCGAGGAGGCATAAAATGGATGTGCATGCCAGTATTTGAAGGTGAAAAACCAACGTTCAGAATGAAAAAAATTTGAATTATTTAATTCCAATAACTTGGCCGGCATAGTCAGACAGAAAGACGAAGCTAAATAGCTAAGAACAAAAAAACGTCAGTTTGGTAGTGATTTTATGTAATTACTATAAACTTTACAATTAGTTTATTGGTAATATAATCTATATGCAACTTACGAAAACTGGTAAATAAAATATGAAAATATCGGAGAAAGGTTTCCAAACTACAAGTGTCAAATGAATTTCGAATAAGCCCATGTGCAAAACAACTGCCCACAGTTCGTTTTATCCGATTGTCCGATGTTTGTGGATAATATATAAAAAGATTGCTGACTCAGAAAATCATATATCCAGATTAGCACGGTAAAGTGGCCCCGTCTACCAAATTAAGAGTGGTTGGAACTGTAGGTAAACTCTGAACAGTTAATTGAATTAGAAGAAGTAATAGACAAATTGCAGTGAATAGAAAAAGAAAATATTGCAATTGACAGAAGATAAAGTTGGCGTCTTTGAAGCCGGGGCCTGTGTCGAACACAGTGTCCTTAAAGCAAT